AAAAGTGCTGAGATATAAAGTTGTATTTGTAGGGCAGTGCACCAGACACCAGCCGATGGAATATTGCCAGAGGGTATTGGCATCTATATTTTAATGTAGTTGAATGAAATTTGTTCTGTTGGTAGAGAGTTCACAGTCACACAGAGTGGGGTTAACATTACCCTAAAATGATAAGAAGTCACCTTTAGATTAGCATGCTGTGATAGCAAAAATGCTAACATGAATGCCATTCTGAAAAATGATCTGAGTTAATATAGCGTATATTTTTAATACAAACAGGAGTGAATTTGCTGTTGGGAACCCGATCGAACCTGTATCTGATGGACAGAAGTGGAAAGGCAGACATTACTAAACTTATAAAGCGAAGACCATTCCGTCAGATTCAAGTTGTAGAGCCACTCAATTTGCTGATTACCATCTCTGGTTTGTTTAAGAACTAAAATTAACTGAGTAATTATATAGATTAATTAGGTTGCAAACTGGGTTAAAGACTTCCTCAGGTGAAAGGGTTCATGGGAAAACACTTTAAATATAACCTTTAATTAGGACTCCAGACTTTGCTATTTATGTTTTTCTTATCCATTTACAATTTAAACTAGCTTCTGACATATATTGAACCTGAATTACCTTTCTTAAAAATATTTTATCTTTGTTGTGGTTGTTGAAAATATATGCAGAAGAACATACACCCACCCACTGCCATAGAGTCAATTCCGATTCATAGCGACCCTATAGGACAGAGTAAAACTGTCCCATAGGGTTTGCAAAGCTGTAAACCTTTATAGAAGGAGACTGCCTCATCTTTCTCCCATGGAGTAGCTGGTGGGTTTGAACCACCGGCCTCTTGGTTAGCAGTCAAATGCCTTAATCACTGTGCCACCCAGAGCTCCTTAGAACATACACCAATTCAATAACTTTTACATGTACAATTCAATGACATTGATGACATTCTTCAAATTGTGTAAAAATTATCACCTAGTGTGGTGGTTATGTTTTTGTGTCAACTTGGCTGGGCCTGGTTGAGTGGCTGGGCAGCTGGTGGTAGTTATTCCCCATGAGGAGACTGGCAATCAACTCCATGGTGGAATCTACTATGAGCAGCTGAGTAGCTGCCTTTGGGTATGTGGTCTGCTTCCTGTATGTAAGGAGAAGCTTTGAGAAAGGTCTCTAGCATATGGCACACTTGGACACTGCATGTAGCCGTGTCATTGCTCAGCAGCCTGCTACTCTCTGCCAACCCTGGGACTTAAATGGATTTAAGTTAATGGCCTGCCGTGTAGTTTGGTAATATCTGGACTGTGCCTTTTTTACTTGTCAACCTTGGGGCTTCACAGCCTCAGCAGCCAGAAGCTGTCTGAAAAAAGAAAAGCCTCTAGCTTCAGTGGGCCCAGAGCAGGAGGCAGAGCTGAACCCCAAGGTTGAGGGGCTTTCACCCAGTCCCTAGAGCCTGGCACTTTGAACTTGGACTTAAAGGCTCCAAATTGTAAGAATAAACTCCTGTTTGTTAAGGCCATGCCATTTGTGGTATATTTCTTGTCGGAGCAGCACTAGGGAACCAGAACACCCAGCTTTTCCAGTTTGTTCTTCCCCCATTAGCATAAACTCACTACCTACCCTTGCACACATGACTAACCACCAACAGTCACATATACATAGACATTTCTCATGATGTATTAGAAACAACAAAGAACAAAGTGGACAATGATTGCATAAGAAAGTGACTCTGTTGTCCCTAGCATAGTCTTATCACAAGAGCCTACAGATAGGGTTAAAAGCAGGAATGAAACCCTCAAATCCTCTACACTCTTCTCACATAGTAGTTGAACTTTTGGTTTTGGGTTGTCAGAACATGAACCTTTGAATGTGACAATGCAAATAAATGGGAGCTCTGGTAGCATAGTGGCTAAGACACTTGCCTGCTAACCAGACGGCTGGCGGTTCAAACCCACCAGCCACTCCTCGGAAGGAAGGTTGGGCAATCCTACTTCTGTAGTGATACTGCCTCGGAAACCCAAGGAGGGGTCGCTATGAGTCGGGTTTGACTTGACGGCAAACAAGAACAACAACAGAGCTTCCATTCATAATGATAGTGATTACTAAACAGTAGTTGGTATCAGGAAACCACTAGTATTAAAACTGATTATAGATAAAAGATGACTGACGAAAGGAGAGGAAAACTAAAAAAAAAAAAAAAAAAAAAAAAAAAAAAAATTGACCCATGTCACTTAAGTTTTGTGTAAGTTAAGAGAGTTGCAAGATGG